TTCTTTCTCCCCATATTTTCCTATCCTTCAACCTCATTCCCTGCGGGACTAAATCTACTTTGACAGTGAAAAGTCGGAAAGATTTCGGAGGTAGCATTGCAATCTTGAGAGCAGAACATTAGAATTGCAAGAGAAAGTATGAGAGGTCCGATGTGACTAATATTGAACAAACGGGACGGAGACGAATGGAAACTTCGTGGATGGGTGAAGTTGAAGTGAGAAACATCGTACGGCAAGTGCTCTACTATTTGAAGTCGACACGACCCTGAACGACGAAACCACTTCAGTAAAGGTAGAATGCATATGGAGGGACCAAGTGAACTTGTTTTCTCCATGGGAATGTTTGGGTATGGAGTTATAGTGGATCCCACTGATGTTCCCCTGTCGGCCAGTTTCATTGTTTGCAAAACAATCACTACACCCCGACTGCGTGGTAGCCCATGAATTCGTTATATACGTCTAGTGTTGTGGTGGAATGACTAGAGAGTTGCCATGGCATAAGCGAAAATAGAACAAAGAGAAGAAAAGAAGAGGGAAGTTCAGAGCTAATATAGCTTAAAGGGCAATTAGGGTACGCCATGAACTCAGCCATGAGACGCGATCGTAGCCATTTGAATGCGTATTTCGGTTATCTGATAAGTAATTAGTTGATTTTTGAAGTGAGTATATGTGTCTATAAGGGAAGGCTTGATGTCGGCCAATTCCAATAGAAACCGATGTGAGGGAAGCCTTTTGCTCCTACAATGGAAAGAGCGCATATTACAGAAGACCGAGAAAACCGAGCAGAACCAAAGTCAAAGGCCAAGGCTACTTCAGGTCACTTCAGAATGGTCGCTGAGGTGACAAGCCTAATGAGCTTTCTTAATGGCCAGCTGTGGGGCTACACACCAATCCAACCAACGACAGCCGGACTTTGAACTCATAAGCTCTGTCAAGAATGTGCAACGCGCCTAGTATGACCACTGCTTGTGGGAAAGGCGTAAATGAGTGGTAAATAAATAACTATGAGATCAAGGGCTTATCGTTATCCAACAGAACTGGACGTCATGACATACGTAGGAATGAAAACAGCAACGTATGGAGTACTGTAGATACCTAGAAATTCGAGAAGAGTCCGAAAAAAGGCTCGAATTTCCAGAAATCCATAGCCCTCCAATAACAATATGAGGTAATAGAAGAAAAAGCGAAAGTCCAACAAAAGTTCAACTTAAAGTCAAGTTGGAATAGGCAAGGATTGAAGAGATATATGGCATGATCAATAGCTAGGTGTTGATTAATGTGAGGATTTGAGTTAATAGAAAGTCCTGATTCGAAGATGAGATAGGGGGATATGAGATATATGGGAAAAATGGACGCACTTTGAGACGGCTCTCTCAGACGACGAAGTGCATCAGCACGTCTTTCACCACATATATCCCCTAACTAGAGAGATGAGGCGCATCTTGATGCGAATGAGTTAGTGGCGGCGCTTTGAGTCTAATGGACCGGAGCCCGACTGAAGGCTTCTTTCTCATTCACGCTAGCCGACTCATCCTTTTTCATTCAATAAAACGAAATCGACTACCAGCACCACCATCACCATCGCAACCGACAGACCATACCGGTTATTCAGAAAAGTCGACGTATCCGTATGGATACGACTATGGCATACCGGCTACTGGATGTCCAGGCCAAGGTGTTTAGCGCATGACTTAAAGCACGATTGGTTAAGCACAATGTTACTGGCAGGAATGTGGGAAAACCAGTAGGCAACGGGTAAGAAGCAGTGCCCACCGTCACCAGAAGGGACGCCGAAAAGAG